GGGGTGGGTTGGGGGCAATCTGCATAGCGCCAGAGCGCCCATGGAAGAAGGAAATGGTAAATCACTTCTGAGTGCTCAGTAGCTAGAAAACCCTGGAAAGGGTCACCATGAATTGGAATCAACTTGATGGCACATAATTATTATCATTATTATTTTTTAAAATGAAACTAATATACTAACTTCAAAGTGAGAGAAGCAGAAAACTGTAGAAGTGAAAAAGACAGTAGAATTAATATACTACTTTTCTCTGTAAATATTTAAGAAGTTTTAAACATGCAATAAAAATGAAGTGTGAACAAATGAGGACAAAGTGTATATATAAAAATGTGTGTATTATGGACATGGAATCTGTATGTTTAAGTGTTCAACTGGTGTGTACCTTCCTCAGAGATATTAAAGAAACAACATGCATTTATATCCATTAGAGAGTCAAAATTGCCTGCATATTTCTGCCAGAGGTATTTTCAGTGGAAAACCCAAGGTATCACTTGGTGTCACAAGTGAAAAGTCACTACGTAGTTCTGAATCCACATGTATTTAAATATGATGACATCTAAATTTTGGGGTGCATGAAGGATGAAATGGCTATAACAGTGCATAGACTGGGGTGGATTAAGAAAGGCCACTATTACTTGGGCCACAGGTTTATTGAGTGTGACTCAGCAGGGGGCAAAGGTTCATTAATTGTGGAGTCCAAGTGTTGCCCAAATCCCACCACCCAGCATTTGTGCTGAGATAACAAAGGGAATGTCAGGAACACTGGGTCCTTATTACAACCAATGACAGTACAGTATGTATCCCTCTTACAACCAGTGTGTGCAGCAAGCATGCTGAGTTCCAAGCTGGGGATTTGAAGAGATATTCCACAAACATTGGAGGGTTTTTGCTCCCTTGTCCTCTGCAAATATTGATCCAACTGAATGTGGCCAATAACTGCACTCCATGAGTGTCTACTTAAGGAGTCAACTGGATTTTGTTCTCACATGCCTGGGGATATGTTATCTTGTGTGATCTGAGAGACCGTGGATTGAATGAACTCATCCATGTTCTTCTGAACATACATGCCTAGGATCTTTGAGCTGTAGTGCTACTTAAGATAGATTGGACTGTCACTCATATTCGGACAGAGCCATCTAACAGGGGAATTTTATTGTACATACAAAAGTTAAAATGTACAAAATGATTGCATTAGGAACTAGCAAAGATTACAAGTGAGTTGCCTAAATGGCATAAAGGAAGTAAATACAGAAAATGACTAGATATATATATTTGCTTTGGAATATTATGGTGAAATATCTGCACCAAAGAAGCAGACTTACAGAACTGAGACAATTTGAAAAACTACTTGTGCTTGGCTACACAATATTCAAATTCCAGGAAATACCAAGGGTTGAAGCTAAGCAACTGGACCCTTTTGCATGTTATCTGCACTTGTTTAAAAATCACTGCCAGGGTTTACTCTTTTTTAGCATGGGTAAGATTGCTCCGTTTGAGTTTGGTTTTCAATATCTATGACTGCCGATATCGAATGACAGCACCCTAGTGGGTGTTTCATGTCACTTGGTTGGTAAGCCACTTCAGTGCTATGTCACTTCACCCCACCCAAAAAACCCCAAAAAAGGGTGTGTGGAGCTATACATTTCCACCATTGCCTCTGGGAGGGAGATACATGAGAGGAATGGAAGGGGATTTTCAATTTTCTTCAATCCAGCACTATGTCACTTAGGTGCTATGCCACTTACCAATATATATACCCACAGAGGGAGACACAAAAGAAATGCAGGAGCATGGAAGCAAAGAGGGAAGAACAGGCTAAATAGGGTGTCTTTGAAATGCAGTGTGTTTTTTTTTTTGTCCTGAAACCAGCTGGTGTTTGCATGTGAATACAAGGATCACATGACACACCTTGAAGTGACCCTGTTTAGCTTGATCTAGTCCAGGGTAATTTGGCTGTCTAGGTGCATCCCAAGCAAAGCAGAGCCTCTTCCCAGGAACCAGTCCTCAGAGAAATCAAACTGAAAGCTTTTATGAGATGGAGGCCATAGGCAGAGGAGAACTCCTTTCAGGATGGCAATTGACAAACCCTGATCTCTCAGTTATAGGCAATTCTACAAGAATCTTGCAGGAGGAAACCTCCCAATCCCAACTGAAGCAGATTCTTCAAGGCAGATGATCTACCAGAACTCCTCTGAGGAGCTGCCTCATCTTCTGGAGGGATGTTATGGCCATACTTTATTAAATAAAAAGAATTAACATTCTGCTGTGCACCCTTGATGCAAGGTGATTATCACAGCAATGAGACTGTCTGCCATAGCAAGCTTGCATGGCAATCTTCCTTCTTTCGACCACGTTTACAATGCAAAGAGCAGTTTTATGTATTAAATATATATAAATACATGTAGAAGTCTGCACGCTACCTTTACAAGCGAGGTGTCTGTCTCTCTGTATATAAAGCTAGGCAGTTTGGTAACACCAGATTAAAACATCAGAATGTGTCTTATTTCTCAGTCTCCGGTGACTATGGAATACTGATGGTTTGGGAGGAAGGGCAGAAGAACTTTTAGCCTCCTGAACAGGGAACATTCCATGTTGTACGATTTTAATGCAGTTTCCAGTTATGCATGCTAAACAACATTATATTAAATCTGCTCACTATATGAAACAGATTCATCTCATGCTGCGTTTCTCAACCAGTAATGTACGATATATTTTTTAGCTATGGTTTGTGCTGTCATGGAAACCTTAAGTGCCAAGGGGCTGAAGCAAGTAAGAGGAAGATGTCTGATGTCCTTACATTGTGCTTTCACAAGGTGCATACATCTGTGGCTACATCTCAACCCTGCTGGGATGTAGCCTCTACGTTTGAAAGCTTAGCAAAAGAAGGCCTCCCAATAGACTGCTAAGTGGTAGCCCCATGCTAGTGCTAAGAAGTCTGCCTGTTCTACACTGATTCTCTATATTAAACAGGAAACAAATTGCAGTAAGATTGTACCTTACCTTTAGTTAATCAAAATAGAATATTATATAGTCATGGTAACTGCATAACCATACAAATACTACTATTTCATTGCAAGCATTCCTCGTTACTCCAGCCCAAATTCTCCAGCAATTCCCAGTTTAAAAAAATTGGGCATTTTTATAATAGCCATGTTCCCATTAAGGATTACTGTGTGGGCATTCCTTCCAATTTATAATGATGATGATTCTTTTGGGCATAAAGCACACTATTTTAATTTATACCATAGTAGCCTGACTTACAGATCATTAAATTAACTGCATCTCTTTCCCAAGGAAGCTGAACAGGATGCTTCATCACACAAGATATCTGTTTTTGTTGTTACTGTAGAATGTTTTTTGCCAATTGTTCAATAATGGCCTCCTCACTGACTGTGTTGGTAGGGGAGTATGGGAGTTGTAGTCTACTGGTACTGCTGGGATCAGATGGGGGAAGGCTGTGAAAGAACAACAACTTGAAAACATCTGGCAATAATCGCCATCAGTAATGAGGATGAAGGAGGGAAGAAAGGGGGGGAAGAGAAGGCATTTTGTATCCTCATTTGTTGGTTATTAAAATATGGATATTCTAAAATAAGTTGCAGCCCACTTCTGGGCCATATTATTCATAAGATTGACTAGGCTGAAGCTGAGGGGCCCCTTTCAACTAACCACAGACAGGCTGTCAGCTGTAGTGGGGTGAAAGATTGGCATGCCAGAGGGGCTTGAAACACCTGAAATCCATGGGTGAATCTGGTCCTGGTCCACTTCCCATTCAAATATGTCTATTTTAGAGACCCTGAGAATAGGATTGACTTGAAACCTAAAGACATGCAGTGTATCAACAGCCTATTAAAAAGGCATCCTGACAACTTCCACAAAAATAAATCCAATTTGTCAAGGATACTTTACAGGCAGTTAATTGGTACATGTTTTTTTCATCCAGACTTCTTTCAGACCGATTATTATCCTGGAACTGGGGGGAAAATTAGGAGAGAAACTTCTGACAACTGCAATTGATCTTTGCTTACCTTCTACCAGCAGGGCGGTGCCAATGACAAACACTTCTAATTCGGTGAAGCCTTCAGGAATGGGATATGCGGTTGTAACCATATTTGCAGTACAAATGCCACCTATTTTGGGCTTTCCACTCTCGCCAGCTGGCTGTCCTTAACTCTTCTAGTCACTAAATTTTACTGTTTTCTTTCAGCCACTCTAAGACCCCCCAACCTTCTTAAAGAGCCAAACCACGCGGAGACACATGAAACTTCTTATATAAAAAGCTTTGGGGCTTTAAGTATAACACAACAATCCTTACAAGAATGCTGTTACTGAATCAGACAGAATGTCGCTCCCCCACCGCCAAGACGGCAAATCTTATTTGTGTAGCATGGCAAAAGGAAAGTATTCACTCCGTTTACAACAAGGCCTTTGTAGAGACAAGATTATGAATGTTGTCTGCTTAATTCTGCAGTGTTGGGGATGAATTAAAGAACACTGGAATGGCTGGAGAACAAATAATATGTAATTGCAGGGTGACCTGGAAAAACAAACAAACGTTATTCAATATCTAATTAGGGGAAAGGAGACAAGAAAGGAATTTCTAGTGTACAAATTTCTTTATTATTATGAAAGAATTGAAAGGAGCAGTTTCCCAAAATATATTGTGTCATAAACTGTTTTCACTCCTCATTTCTCATTCCTCTTTTGTAACTTATTTTTAATAGTTTTGCAAAAGAGAAAACAAAGCATCTAAGCTGCCTGCTGAAACAAAGCAGGTGAAAAGGGGCAGAAAATTTATAGGGTAGTGGCCAGGACAGCAAGCTAAGTCCATGAAAAGCTGACTCACTGGTAACTTTCCAGCTCAGCTGAAACTGCCACAAATCCAATTTCGCATCCCACAGAACCTTCCTGGGTCATGACACCACAATGTTTTGGAATTTTCTATGCCTTCTACCATTGGCAACTGATGATGCAGTGTGGTGAAATGTGGAATGTGATGATATCAGAATATGGGGACTTCCTGCTAGATTATCGTGGAAGGGAGCAGAGGAAATAGACATACATCTGTTTGTATACGGTTGCCTCCCATTCTGATTCTGGACACAGAACTGTGTGTTTAAACTGATGTACCAATGGGATGGAAATGAATGAAAATACCCATTTTGCATCTCCTGAGACTGGTGAAAGAGTAGAGAACATCTTGCCTCAGAAATCCATCCATTTTCAAGGCTTGTGATGAACTGTGGGTGGACCGGTGCACAAAACCAGGTGTTTAAAGGAGGATGGTTCCAGCTGTCACCAATCAACATTTAAAGGAATTTTTCACACACATTTCCGGAGGGCATGTGACAATGCAAATAACTTGAAATGTGCTCAGATGACAGGGCAATCAACATTTGGGAGACAACAGCATCAGTAAGTCTGGTTTTTATTTCCTCAGCTGTTCAGAACCCAGCCTTTAGGTCCCAAAGTATTTCTGTTGTGTTCGTTAAAAGGAGCTATTGTTCCACATAAATATAGCATTTGAGATATTCCTGGAAAGGTTAATGAATTTCCAAATTGAAGGGATACTGAATTATATTGTGGAATTCAGCAAGTGTAAGTAAATTAACCACTTCTCTTTAATAATAAGTTAGGCAGTATTAACTTTCAGACACCAGAATGAGATACTTTAATGCCCCAATTTGCATTCTGTGATGATTGCAGAATCCATACAAATCAGACCTATAATGTAGGCATCTACAACATTATCAACTGAAGAGTTGTAAACAACACCCCCAGAGTTCAGCCATTTGCCATATACAGGTTTTTAATTTTAGGGTTTTTTTACAGTCAGAAAACAAATGAGACAAAATTGCCCCAATAAATAACATTGCTTTTTGCAGGACAAATACACCTTTGTCTTACTCAGGGGTAAAAAAAAAAGTTTCATCCTTTAAAAAAAGTTGTAGAAGTGACATATTCTGTTGCCAGTAGATTTGGTTTCCTGTGAGCAAGGGCCTGGACTAGAAGTTTCAAAGGGGTTTAGGAAATTAAGCTTTTCTCAACTAATCTCAACACTAACTACACTCCCAACTTTCCATCTAATCCTTGGTATGTTGAATTCGCAACAGGATCAAAAAATACCCCAGAATTCATTCAATGGAAATTCTAAAAAATCATGGCATATGCGGAGTAGATAAATTTGAAACTGACCAAAAAATCTCCCTGAAACTTTATTGGAATGACAAACAAATATCTTAATTGGTGATACTTTTCCATTACTACTGCCTTACTATCTGTTTCATCTTCCCTTCCTTTTGTCTTTCATTGTCAACGGTATGATATTTTTATAACAAATCCTGTCTCCAATAATAAACCTTTTTGGCAGGGGCCTTTCCCATTGTTTGTATCCACAATAAAGGGCTGCAGGCTTGACTCTTTTCTACTGCACATCCAAGCAGAAACATAAATCCAGCCACCGCAGCCTATTCAAAGCCATCCACTTACTGACCATTAAAATGGGATTACGAGCCTGCCCCGTAAATTCTATTTCAGTGTTTCTGTCATGTTTTTTTTTTTAAAGAGTCCTTTCTATTATAATCTCCACGCAAAGGGAGAACAGACTGTTCTAATGGAAGGGCACCGCTCTGGTATAAAATCTCACCTTTTTGGTGTCCCTCGTATATTCTTTTAGCAAGGTCCAAAGACATCTCATTTTGATTTGGCCATAATTTATCAGGGACATCTCTTGTTCCAGTCTCCCACCTCTGTCTGTGTTCTTCTATTTGTTTCAAAGGAGGGTCTACTGGATAAGGTTTTCCCCAATTAGTTTTGCTATGACACATTTACTATTGTGTCAATAATGTCTGAATGACTATAAATCTGGCTTCATAACAGTGTGACATCTCATGCCCTATCTAAGAGTTCTTTCTGTTTTCTAATTTAAAAAAATGCTCATTGTGTCTCGGAACTGGTATGCTAAAAGAACTGGCTAGGGTGCTTGGCAGTTTAGGTATTTAACTGCAGAGTTGGAGGTTCGGAGTTCAGTTCCACACTGTGCCTCCTTGACAGGAGTTGATGATCCATAGGGTCCCATCCTGCTCTGCAGCTCTAAGATGATGATGATGATGATGATGATGATACAGTTGACAGAAGAAACACTGAATTGAGGGGCCATGTCCAGATAGTTCAGCTTGGGGGTGAACTGTCAGCCCCCTGGACCTTCAATTGTAGGGTGCTCCAAGGGTCATCAATATCCTCAATGCTATTTCACATCAATGTTAAGCCACTGGGGGAGGCCATCAGGAGATCTGGAGTAAGGAGTCACCAGTATGTATGCCATGACAAGCACAATTCTACCTCTTCTTTACCACCTCTGCAATGGATGCTGTTCAGATGCTTGAGCAATGCCTGACTTCAGTTTTGGAATATACCAGGGCTAACTGGCTCAAACTGAACTTGAACAAGACTAAGAGTCTGCTCCTAGGGAGGGGGGCTCCAAGAGGTTGTAGGGGGATTATCCGTAGGCTGGATGGTGTTGCCCTCCCCTTTAGAGATCTGCGTCTGGTCAATTTGGTTGGGCTGGCCTACTTGGAAATCCCTGTTCCAGGCTGTTTCTTCTAAAATTGATTTTCTGCCTGTTCTTTCTGAAGGTCATTTGTGGCTTGCTGCATCCTTCTCATCTAGCCACATGTGTGTTGCACATTTGGTTGGGTTACCCTACTCAGAAGTTGCTGTTCTGGGCCATTGTGTTCCTTTCTGATGAGTTTTTTTGGGTAAAAAAGAGTTAATGAAGGAACAATATTCTTTAGGTTTGAAGTCTAAAATATTTTGTGAATATTTGTCCAGCACATCCCACTGTTTCTAGCATCAATTTTTGTTAAGAAGTCTCTGTTCCATTCCATTCTAGCTTTTAACCTAGTCCAGGGAACATGTTTAGACCCTAGTGCAGGATGCCCACAAAAACACCTCTTTATTTTTCCCCCCTAAGCAACCTAACTGGCTCATGCTCATTCCAGGGGAAGAAAGTAAAGTGGCGCTCTGGAGAATGCAGTTAAAACAGCTCTCAATCACATGGAGAAAGTGCTACAGACTTCCTAATCTCTACGGGACCTCCAGATACTGTGAGACTAACAGCTTCTATCAGCCCTACCCAGCATCCCTGCCACTGAGGCATGGTGGGAGTTGTAGTCCATACATCTAAAAGCCACATCGTTCTCAGTCTTCTTCCTCTCTTACTAAGAGAAAAATGCTGGGGAACTGGTGAAAACCGAAAGCAATGCTGCTTCCTACCATACATTTAAATGACTTGTGAAAATAAACAGACAAGCTTATTTGCTTCCAGGTTGCCTCATTTTTGTAGAACTTTTTGAAGCTGGATGGACAAAATCCATTCCTTGTCTCCTGATTGCTGGATGAAAATCCCCTAGGGAAGAGGCAGTGATCCATCTTGTTTGGTCTACCTTTTTGATCTGATTTATACTCTGAAACCTTCACCACTGCAGAACATTCATTGGAACATGGTAAATGTTGTGCAGTGGACAAAGTGAACCCAGTGAAGTGGCGTTTTACTACGGTAGTTTTGGCTTAAGGGTGCGATGTAGCTAGCAAGTGAAAAGCTTTTTTGCTGCCTTCTTGTAAAGTATGTCATATGACTCAATACATTGTCAGTTTCATTGCCCCTATCAACTATAATTGTCTCAGGCTTTGATAGATGCTCGGCAAATTCAATGGCAGCTTCTTTATTGACTTCTTAGGACTTTGAGTCCCAGTTCACGCATGGTGTGCATGTGTACCAAAAAAGCCTGCAGTCTATTCCCAGTTTACCAGACAGATCAAAGTGCTCTCATTCAGCAACACTTTTCGCTTAGTTTCAGCCCAAACAAGGGCATTTAGCTGAAAGGGAATCCTTCAAGACTTTTAGTTCTTGCAACAATTTCATTTTGACAATAATAGGGTTGAGCCAAAACTGGTTACTTCATTTGAAATTCATTTTCATGAATGTCAAAAATGTGAGTTCCATTTTCAATAATTTTCAGCACTGGATGCGAACACACGTCATATGTATTTTATGTTGTTCTTCTTGACGTTGGTTGTTGTGGGTTTTTCAGGCTTCTTGGCCGTGTTCTGAAGGTGGTTCTTCCTAACGTTTCGCCAGTCTCTGTGGCCGGCATCTTCAGAGGACAGCAAACTGTCCTTGACGTTCTTTGCTATCGTGGTTGTCTTTCATCTGTTTTCCTCACGCATATATTTGCTTGTTTCTAAAAATAATATTCTGCCCTTTACTGGCCAAGTGGCTTCCCCAGGACAGTTTACCAAAGAGCAAAACCACAACTATAACAAACAAACAAACAAACAGCAGAATGCAGAATTAAATGGGTTAGTCCAGCTGGCTGCAGAAACCCACAAGGATTTGTTGACAGTGATATGTTACTGACAAGGTCTTGCTGCTGTCAGTGTGATGCTTGTGAAAAAGAAGCAAACACCCACATGGATTACCACAGCCAATAAGATTAAGTGGCAGTGCAGTCAAAAGATGAATGGTACAATGGAGGGGAAATGATTTGATCATGTTTTAACATTTTTGTTAATTTTTCTGTGTTCTGGGATTTCATTTTTCATCCTTCCACTGAATTCAATGCAAGATGTGGCCAAATCTGCTGCCGCCTTACTTTTGTATCTTATTTCAAAAGAAGCATTCTACAACCAAATCCCCCAGGACATCAGACTGGGTGCATCACAGAGGCAGGCCAAGTAATTCCCACTTAAAGGTGGAAATCCTAGAGACTTCCCATTTTCAACGGTCTAAGATATGTTTCACCTTCTTTTACACTCTTGATCCCAATGGCACAAAAGATATTACTGTCCTCTACAAATGTGGACGTCAGATCTGACAAATCGCAGATAATACAGGGCGGTCTGCATTCTTGAATGTATTTAGCATTTTGAATCTAATGTTACCCTTATAGCTAGGTGGCACGGGTTGCTGTTACCCGGTAACACATTCACCTTGAGACACTAAAACATCTGACTGTTTGGAACAAGAGGGAATACTAGAAATGTTACAGTTGAGTTTGGAAAGAAGTGGAGAAAAAAAACTGGTATCAACTTTCCCCAACACGCTGTCCTAGACATGCTGCTGGCTGGAAATGATGGGAGTTCTGGTTCAGCACATCTGGAAGATGCCTACACAAGAAAGGCTGCCTTATGCCTATCAGCTATTTAGTTCATTCAGAGAATAAATAAAGGGCTTCTCCTTGAAGAATTGATTTCAAATACTTTTGAAACCTCCCTAATTGCTGGACAGAAAATTAAAGCAAGAGTTGTGAAGCCGTGTGGTTTCAGTTAATAGATATATTAGCATTCAGCCCGGTCTCTCCCTGTCATTTCTTTGGACTTACAGCCATACCTTAACTTATCAGAACAAGCTCTAA